CAAGTACACACGGCACTGAGGCCCCACTGTGTGTTCTCTCCTCTCCGCACCCTGGTTCCACCTTCTTGGGCGTTAAGCTTGGAGTTCAGTTAGAATGACCTACTTACCTGCTTATTCCTATCACTGCTTGGCAAATCTTTTAGACAAATTTCTATTCATTAGATGTTGATTATGTCTAGTCTTTTTGTTTCATTTCCCTGCAGTGGAAATGCAGACATTTAGGAGAGAAGGATTCAAGTATGTTCGTACCCCCACTCCCAACACTTTGTTTCTTCATTTGAAATTTGCTTAATAGTGGAGAGTAAACGGGGTGCCTGGGTGGCTCAGTTGTTAAGCATCTGCCTTCGGCTCAGGTCATGATCCCAGGGTCCTGGGATCGAGCCCCGCATCGGGCTCCCTGCTCAGCAGGAAGCCTGCTTCTCCCTCTCCCACTCCCCTTGCTTGTGTTCCCTCTCTCGCTGTGTCTCTCTCTCAAATAAAGAAATAAAATCTTTAAAAAAAAAAAAATAGTGGAGAGTAAACTTCTGATATGCTCTCTTCCTTTGCCTAAGGCTTCCAGTTTTTTCAAGACCTTCACATTTTTTTTTTAAGATTTTATTTATTTATTTGACAGAGAGAGACATAGCGAGAGAGGCAACACAAGCAGGGGGAGTGGGAGAGGGAGAAGCAGGCCTCCCGCAGAGCAGGGAGCCCGATGCGGGGCTCGATCCCAGGACCCTGAGATCATGGCCTGAGCCGAAGGCAGGCGCTTAACGACTGAGCCACCCAGGTGCCCCGACCTTCACATTTTTTAAGAGCGTAGGTAGTGCAAGACCTGAAAACAACCTAAGTCCATCAGTGGATGAATGGATAAAGAAAAAGTATACATATTACATACATACACATGTTATATAATATGTATATACTATGTACACACACACACACACAATGGAATATCATTAAGCCATTAGAAAGAAGGAAATCCTGCCACTAGCAACAACACAGATGGACCTTGAGAATATTTTGCTAGGTGAAATAAGTCAGAGACAGAAAAACAAATACCATGTGATCTCACTTATATGTAGAATCTAAAAAACTTGAACCCACAGATAGAGAGAAGAGATGGGTGGTTGTCAGAGGCAGAGGCAGGGAGCTAGGGGTAGGAGAAATGGGTGAAGGGGGTCAAAAGGGACAAACTTCTGGTTATAAGATAAATAAGTTCTGGGTATGTAATGTACAGCATGGTAACTAGAGTTAACAACACTGTATTGTATATTTTGAAGTTGTGAGGAGAGATCTTACAAGTTCTCATCAAAAGAAAAAAATTTATTAACTGTGAGAAATGGGTGTTGAGTCAACTTACTGTTGTAATCATTTTACAATATATACATGTGTCAAATCATTACATTGTACACCTAAAATGAATACAATATTATATATCAGTTGTATCTCAATAAGACTAGGGAAAATATATCAAAAAAGAAAACAAGAACGGGGCGCCTGGGTGGCTCAGTTGGTTAAGCGTCTGCCTTCGGCTCAGGTCATGATCCTGGAGTCCTGGGATCAAGTCCTGCATCGGGCTCCCTGCTCGGCAGGGAGTCTGCTTCTCCCTCTGACCCTCCCCCCTCTCATGTGCTCTCGCTCTCAAATAAATAAATAAAATCTTTAAAAAAAAAAAAAAGAAAACAAGAACATAGACTCTGAAGGAGAGGCAAAGGGATTCGAAGAACTAGCTCTGCTACCTCCTAACATGTGACTCTGGGTGAATTACTTTACTTCACTGAATCTTAGTTTCCTCATCTGTAAAATGGGGATAACAATGCCCACCTATAATTAAATCATATTTTTTAAAAAAAAGATTTTATTTATTTCTTTGAGAGAGAGAGAAAGAGCTTGAGTGGGGGAAGGGGCAAAAGGGGAAGGATAGGGACAAGCAGTCTCCACAGTGAGCACAGATCCTGCCATGGGGCTCGATCCCAGCACCCTGAGATCAGGACCTGAGCCGAAACCAAGAATTGGATGTTTAACCAACTGAGCCATCCAGGTGCCCCTTGAATCATAATACTTAACATGCCTGACACAAACTAACTGCTCAAGACCGACACACACATATACATCCATATGAAGTAGACACTGCTATTCTCCCATTTGACAGATGAGGAAAGGAAAACACCAAGGGATTTTTGTAACCTGCTCAGGGTCACTCAGGTGGTATGTGAAAGAGGTGAGATTATGTCAGGATGAAATGTGCTTATGATAGCATGTGACAGATAGTAAACATTCAATAAAGTGTAGCTATTTATATAATCAGTTTAAAGCATTTATGCCTCTGCTCTGTCGGCAGTGTGTTCTGTAAATGTCAAGGGGTGATGTGTCTTTCTGGAAAAATGAGTAATGCTCCATGGCTTCAAAGGTTTCCACTCTTTAACTAGCCCATTTCCCAATAGCTGAACTGTCATTTTATCATCATAGCCTAGGAGCCAAACCGAGAATATGAATTAACATCTTGGCATTGTTTATATTCTCTCTCTGAAAGCCTGGGCCTTTGGAAACACAATCATATTTATTTTAATAAAACTGCTTTATGACTTGCTTGCCCTCTAAATTCCCTTTGCTCTTTGGGGAAGGCTGCTGACAGGCAATGGGGCTTTGTTTTAGTCCCTGTGCTGGGATCATAATTAACTGCCACGGAGAGGGAGACGGGGGATAGTCAGCAGAGAGAAGGTTAAGGACAGTGCTTTTATGCATGAGACTGACTTTCAGGCTCTTGTCTGAGGAAGGGAAGATTATGCTTGACCTGCCACCTTAGAGACCAGGCCCTGGATAAACAGGCAGCCCAGTCCAGGCTCAAGAGTTACTTACCCCTTTTAAAAGGCTTGAATGTGTGGAAAATTGGCAGTGGTAGGGTCTGCAGGACCTCTGCCCTTCTGAAACCTCATGAGTCTGCTCTCTGTAAATCAGTGTCAGTTTATAGTTACCAGTCTCTAGACTGACAGGCTTCTCCCTATGAATGTAGTTTGTCATCCTGTCGTTACTACAGTTAAAGGAGTCTGCCTCCCTTGAAATGTGACGTTGCCCCAGGGAAAGTTAAAACCAATGAAATGTTCTTAGACCGTCAGACCTGGAAGGAATCTTAAGAGTGCTGTGTTTGCCAACACAGAACTACGTCCGTGGGGACTGCCTGGACCATCTGCTAGAATTCCAAGTCCTGGTCCTCACTACGCCTGCTTTATCAAAATCCGCGGACTGTGGGCCCAAAGGTCTCAATTTTAATTAAGTTCCCCCAGGTTATTCTAATGCACAGTGAGGCTTGAGAGCTACAGATATGGAGAAACAGATTCAGTCATCTGAATTACAGATCAAGATACTGAGACACTTCAATTTGTCCCCGAGGAGGGATAAACACAATGCCCTGGTCTTCTGACTCTCAAACAAATGTTTTTGTTTTGTTTTGTTTTGTTTGTTTGCTTTTATGATATCATATTCCTTTTAGCTTCATGGAAAAAGACTTCCTCCACAAATTTTACACTGGGGTCTGGTTATCCAAGGTTTATAAGGCTTAGCTGAGATAGGAGGCAAGGGGCACTGGGCGATCCAAGCTGTATTATTGCTGAAACCAGGAGAAATAGATTTTTGGGGAAATAAATGATTAAAATTTAATAGTAATGTCAAGGAAGAAGAGATAGATTAAAAAAAGAATAAGGATATTGGTTTTTGATTGACAGCTTCATCAGGAACATTTATTTTTGTTACTATTCAAAGAGTTATCTAAATAAGGCAACTTGGTGCTGACACGGCTGTCTCTGATTTGCAGAGAGCAAAAATGTCTTATGTGTGTCGGGTATTTGAAAATGCTTTCCTATCCATGACCCTATTTGATCCACATCACTCTGGAGAGGTAAGTGTTAGCATATCCAACTATGAGATGAGATTCAGAGACGTAAAGAGACTGCCCTAAGTCTAGTTAGTAACGACTAACATGCATATTAGGAAGCGTATTAGGAAGACTATTACTACGACTGTTTAGGAGTGTACCATGTGCCAGGAATCTCTCTGAGCACTTGATAGGAATTTTCTCATTTAATCATCACGACTGCTTTATATACTTGTCTAATTTGACCCTCATCACAGCTCTATGAGATAGTAACATGTTACTGATGAAGAAGCTAAGGTATAAGGGAATGAATCACCTTTCATTTGTTCCTCTACTCATTCAACAAACCCATGCTAAGCTTCTCAGTTCTAGACATTTATTTAAGCTCTAGGGATACTCTGCTTTCGTGGAGTTAACACTGGATGGTAGAAAAAAGCACTAAACAAGGAAATGGATAAATACATGAATCGCTATGAAATGAATCAAAATAGACTGTGGGAGTAACTGGACATGGCAGGTGTTGTGTCTTGGACACTGTGGCAGATGAAAGGTACTGGAGCTGACACCTGAAACAGGTATACAGCTGCCTGGGGGAAGAGGGGCAAAGGCCCTAAATGTGATCAGCGTATCTCTTGATCCAGCAAAGAGGATGGAACAGAGTCATGGGGGGGTTGGGGAAGCAGTGGGAGAGGAGTCAAAGACAGGAGGAAGAAACATCCTGTAGTGGTAGGGAAAATCCTTTGACTTTGAGAAAGGTAGGAAGCCACGGAGGGTTTGAGCAGGGCAGTGACCTGATGTGATGTACTTTAGAAAGCTTGCTCTGTACCAAAGCGGGGAGATCCCATAGAGGGCAGAGTGGAACTTGCCCAGGGTCATACAAGTGATGGGAGGTAGTGGGGGTGCAGGTTGTCTCAATGTTTAGCTCTGGCTTCCTGAGGAGGCACGCATCAGTCTCACCAGCATGTAATCCTCACCTTCCGCGAATCCTGTGCTCGAGTCCCTCCTGCCACACACAAGAGACTCTCCACAAGGACAGGAGTTGTTGCTCTCCATGGCAACTGGCAGAGAGGAGCCACTGGGGCAGACCAGCAGGCAGAGCTGGGCCAGAGCCGTTCTCAAGGCTGTGGCCCCAGGTGGCCTCACTCACCTTGGACTTCTCTTGATGCAGCTCTATCTGGATGTCTGTGAGCTTGGTCCTGAGGTCTTCATTGGCAGCTTGAAGGGCGACGATGAGCGCTTCGGGCTTCTCGCCCTTATTTCGCCCTTTCTTGGACATTGTTCCTTTCTAAAGGGAGTCTTGTTTTTGAATGCCTTTCAAACAGGTGCTGCCATGTTACTGCTTCTTATCGTGGGTGCGATATCTCAGCATCTACTGCGTGGTGCTCCTTGGTAAGCTCTCCTCAGCCGCTGCCCTGGAAGCCCTGGGGAGAGGCAGAGACGGCGATTACGGCTGTGGCAGGGACCTGGGCCAAGGGCCAGGCAGGGTCTCTCAGCCTGAGCTACCTGTATGAGCCTGCTCCCGAGGGCTCCTGCCCCCAGATCCTCCCATCCACTTGGCACATGAATTTAGAGCCATCTTTCGAAAGACGTGGTCTGGTCCTCCAATGCCCTGCTCAAAATCCTCCAAAGACCTATGAGTATTTGAGTGTATTTTTCACATCTCAGAGTGCTTTTTATGTCTGAAACTGCCCATTCCCCTATCTTATCTCCTCCATTTCACTCACTTACTCTCCAGCCCTAAGAAATCCCCTTTTTGGGGTGCCTGGGGTGGCTCAGTCAGTTAAGCGTGTGACTCTTGATTTCCACTCAGGTTATGATCTCAAAGTTGTGAGATTGAGCCCCGCTGCTGCATCGGGCTCCACGCTGGGCATGGAGCCTGCTTAAGATTCTATTTCTCCCTCTCTCTCTGCTCCCCTCCCCCCCCTTTAGCTCTCTCTAAAAACAAACAAAAAAAATGCTTTTTATTTTTTTTTAAGCAGGCTCCATGCCCAGTGTGGGGCTTGAACTCACAACCCTGAGATCAAGACCAGAGCTGAGATCAAGACCAGAGCTGAGATCAAGGGTCAGTGGCTTAACTGACTGAGCCACCCAGGCACTCCAGAAGTGCCCTTTAATTTTCTGATTCTTGCTCTCTTCCCATAAAGACTTTCCCTACCCTGTTCATTTCTCTCCATGCTCTCCCCAGCCTCCTCACAAGTCCTCCCTTGTGTTCTCATCCTCACAGCCTCACACACATACAGCTTAGTTTGGCTAACTTTTATGCCTCCTTCAGGTCTCAGCTTCCATATCAGTTCTTCCTGGAAACACCTCTAGATTATTATGTGCCCTCATTATTTAATGGTGATCACAGCTCCATGAATCTGTAAACTTTGTGAGGGCAGGAATGCATTAATCCTATTTAAAACTTGCTTCTCAGAATCCATCATAAGACCTGCCACATACCAGGTAGTCAACTGGTATTTGTGAAAGGAAGTCAACTATGTAATGACTTCATGTCGCCCCATAGAGAGCCCCCAGTTTAAGAAAATTCTATATATAAAGACCTAGAATCATACAATGGATAAACTAATAGAGGGGGGGATTAATTATACTGGGTTAATTGAGTGACTCATTTATTCATTCAGTCAATATTGTTAGAGTTCCTTCTTTATGCTGTGGTAGGTACACCATGTTGAAATTGAAAGTAAGAGTCCCAAGACAAACAAAACTTTTATATCTATCTATCTATCTATCTATCTATCTATCTATCTATCTATCTATCATCTATCTACCATCTATCTTCATCATTATCATAATCATCACCATCACCTATCTGATAACTGCCTTTAAAAAAATAAACACTAGTTGTTTCAGAAGTATAGACAAGGACTCCTCCCTCCAATGAGGTGACTAAAGAATCTCCTTGAAGAAGGCGGCATTTCCTGGAACTTAAGGAGGAGGATGTTAACAGATGTAGAAACAGATGAGGCATCCTAAGTGAATGAAATGGCAGGTGCTGAGATACAGAAAAAAAGAAAATCACAGCAAGTATTTTGTGGGGAAAAGGATGGCCTGCTCAATTAACCCAGAGTATGGTTGATGGGCAGTAATGCTGGAGAGGTTGCCTGGAAATGACAGATTGTGGAGGACCTGGAACACCAACCTTAAGATTTTGGAATCTTTTTTTTTTTTTTTTCAGTAAGCAATGGGTAAGCTGCTGAAGTTCTTGGCAGGTGGATACCCTAATGGGAAATGCTTTGGTGTGGTTATTCTGGTGGCAGAGTGGGGAGAAACTGGGAGTGGGGAGACTGCATAGAAGGCTAGTGAACTTGCCAAGGTGAAAGATGATGCAGCCCTAAACAGAACAGTATCAACGAGAGAGGGAAAAAAAAGGGATGTGTCTTGATTTACAAATTCTTAAATGCGTCACAGGAATGAGGAGATCAGAAAAATATGGATATTAAATTGTGAAAGTCAATGGGAAAAACATAACAAGATACTAGAGAAAGTTTCTCACACAACCTTTCAGAAAATTGGGTATTGTGTACATGGAGGTGCTTCGGTCCAAAACTAAGGGGAATTCCTACTGGTCACCCATATGTTCCAGCAGCTGCTGTTCTCTCAAGCCCCCTGGTATTCAGCCTAGAGGACCATGCTGGGATCCTGGGCTTTCTGCCATCCCCACATGAGCACTGGGGCCATGCCCTTTGCAGTGTGACCCTAGGGAAAGGGATAGGAAGAGGTTAGGAGGTAGCGAGGACCAGTCTGTCTCTAGAAGTCATGGAACTGTCCACCATATTCTACCCTAAGCTAGATGTTGGAGTCCTTCTTCATGCTTATTTTGCAAATGTCGCCAAATCATTGAAGTGTATAGCTGAGAGATGTTAAAGGGGCTACCATTCTTTACTTTTAGAATTGAAATGAATTAACAAGCATTTATTGGATTTTTATGATGAATACTACTAGGCACAAAGATAAATAAGACAGTATTTAATTTCAAGCACGTGTTAGGGGAGTGAACTCACATGTTTTTGTTTAACAGGTTTCTCTTCCTCTAGCTGAGCTCTAAACATTGCTGGTCCCCTGGGTTCCCCAAAGTTATCACCAATGACACCACCAATAGGGTTATGACTCCCCATTTTATATCCATAGCCCTGACCACTCTCTAAACCCCGACTCACATATTCAACATCTTACTTACCAAATCTACTTGGATATCTGACTGGTGGATCAAACCTAACCTAACTAACATGGATGTCTTTATTACTAGCCCCTCAGAGCTTCATTCCCTCCAGGTTTTTCCATATCAATAAATGCACCACCATGGGCCCAGTTGTTCCAGATCTAAGCTTAGAAGCCCTCCTTTCTTCTTGTATCCATCATTCCTCTTCTCTAGTCCACCAGGGGTCCTGTTTGTTTTTCCTATAAAATATAATTCCCTTTGGTCAACTTCTCTCAACCCCCTACAGTGTTCTCAGAACATGGAGAAAGGAGGAATTTGAGAAAAACTTCAGTCACTTCATAGCCTTATGGTCTTCCTTTCTGACTAGAGATACAGGAATGACAGAGAAAGAGCTTGAGAAGTACTGGGAGTCATAAATTTGCCAGATGCATTTAGAGAAGGTTGTGAACAGGGAGAAGACAAACTGGGTTAGATTGCAGAGGTTCCTGCATGACTGATGGTTAGATTTCATTGATAATGATTCCATTTCATTATGTAGAAACAAAGCATTTGAATATAAGTGTAATAATAAGAGCTCAGAGTGACTGACTGCTTTGAGCTAGACATTGGACTAAGCACTTTGACATACTGCTCTCATTTCGTCCTCCCTAAAAATAGGGGGAAACGATTCACAGAAAGATGAATTAACTTAACTAAAATGACTGAGTCATAGGGAGTGAGGCCTTCATGCAAGACTGGGACCCAGGCTATGATGCCCTGGGTTGCACTGCCTCATGTTTGCATTTTAGAGAGGTAGCTCAGGCAGTGTGATGGACGGTGAGTTCCCAGGGAAGGTCACACAGGAAGCAGGAAATCAGGCTGCTCACTGGTCCAGGTGAGTGGAAGACAGCCCTGAATCTACCCATGGCCATGGGGATGAAAAAGGACATAGTAACTCTGACACATGGAGACTTTGATGGAAACATGTCTTCCTTTTAAACATTATTACTGGCTTGAACATTCTTCTCTGCCATGGTAAATAATGAGTACCAGCTTTCTGGTAATGCTTGCAGCAGAAACGTGCACTGCCATAGTCATATTTTACATTCTAATCTATAATCCTTTCCCCCAAAATATAATACTATGTGCCTGACTTCCTGCATTTTTTTTGTCCAGGAATTATTTTTCACTTAGTCCCATAAGGGCTAGGGAAAAGAAGAGGGTTAAAAAACTAGAAACAGGGGCGCCTGGGTGGCTCAGTCGTTGAGCATCTGCCTTCAGATCAGGTCACGATCCCAGGGTCCTGGGATCAAGCCCCATATCAGGCTGCCTACTCAGCAGGGAGCCTGCTTCTCCCTCTCCCACTCCCCCTGCTTGTGTTCCTTCTCTCTCTGTGTCTCTGTCAAATAAATAAATAAATAAATAAAATCTTTAAAAAAAAACTAGAAACCTGTCCGACAGAAAAAAGCATCACAGAAAGTTACTGATAGAGTCAGCTTATGGATACGGTAAGGTGAGCATCAGTTCATAAGGATGATCCCATACATCCTCGTGGTGAAGGGGAACTTTGTGAAGCCTTTTCCAGTTGTGATGGGTATCTGGCAATCTCATGATTCTCGTGTATAATTTTACTACAGTGCTTCTGTCATCCTGTGCTGCCTCCCCCCAACCCCGCTTTTTGGATAGCTTTACTGAGATATAATTCACATATAAAATTTACCCTTTAAAAGTGTATTAATTCAGTGGTGCTAGCATATTCTCAATATTGAGCAATCATCACCACAATGAATTTCAGAACTTTTTATCACCCCCCAAAAAAACCCTATACCTGTTAGCAGTCATTCCCTATTCCTCACCAAACTCTCTCAGCCCCAGGCAATCACTAATCTATGGATTTGCTTATCCTGAACATTTTCTATCAAATGGAATCATACAATATATAACTGGCTTCTTCCACTATAGCATAACATTGTCAAGGTTCATTCATATTATAGCATACAGATATTTCATTTCTTTTCACTGCTGCATAATATTCCACTGTATGGCTAAAACTGCATTTCATTTATCCAGCCATCAGCTGAAGGACAAGTGCTGCCTCTGCTTAAGTAGCCTGAGGCAAGGCTTTCAAAGAAGCTGCCAGCCAGACCAAAGACCTCTATGCAGGCAAAAGGTCTCACTGTGCATTCGTGAACCTGACACAGCACAAAAAAAAAAAAAAGCCTTTTTTTGAGAGACAGAGAAAGCACAAAGGAGGGCATGAAGATATAACTGCAAGCAGGG